TGTGTATACTTTTTTGCTTTTGTACCTTTAAAACAATAAGTTACTTTGACTTTGTATGCTAATTTTTTTTTTTTGTTTTTGGTTTTTTTGGTTTTTCTCCGGTACCGGGAACCGAACTCACGACCTTGCGCTTGCCAGGCAGGCGCTTTGCCACTGAGCTAAATCCCCAGCCCCTTGTAATCCACTTTTAAACTTTTCAGTACATTCTTATATATTATTTATGCTTTTATATACACATTTTAATTTTATGCTTATAATTTTTGCAAAATCCTCACATAACTTTTTTTGATGCATTCTTTTATATATCACAAAATTCATCCTTTTTCTACCATCCAGTCATTTTTAAATGTAGACATTCCTTGTTTAAGGACTGGTCACATTCCTGCAACTGAAGTCATTACGTAAATGGGTTGCTGAACGAGAAATTGTATATAGTATTATATACTGTATACAGTTGTATATTGTATTGTATGCACTATTCAGAACAAAGAAATGGTCAAAGGAAACTCCAACTTGATGACTTTGCTTTTATGTACATAACTCCTAAATGCAGTACTGTAATATGTAACAGAACATAAACTACTGTACTATACAATACAATAAGCAAAAATTACAGTGCTATATGAACAAGGTGTTCTGTACCAAAAAAGGACATTGAGGCTCTATAAACGAGATGTATGGAACTGTACCAAAAAAAAAAACAAAAAAACCTGGCAAGTTGTAGTACAAGCATCATTAAACAGGAAGTCACTAAAGGAGGAAAATCTGTATAGTTCACTAGTGTTAAGTATAGTTCACATTGTTGTGCAGCAGATCTCCACAACTTTCTCAGCTAAGAAAATTGAAATTCTATAGATTTTATACTCATTAAACAACTCCTCCATTTCTCTGTCCTGCTACTGGTACAATCATTCTACTTTCTGTTTCTATAAATGTGACTGCCCTACATACCTCATGAAAGTGAAATCATATAGTATTTGTCTTTTATTGCAATGGTTTGTTTTACTTAATGTGGTGTCAAGATTCATTCATGTAGCATGTGACAGGATCTCCTTTTTAAAGCCAAATAGTATTCCATAAATGAGTGGGTGTGTATGTGCATATGTATATGTGTGTCTATACATATATCTAAACATTTTTTATTCATCCTTTGATGGACAGTTATGTAGTTTCCATTTCTTAGTTATATTAAATAATAGCACTGTGAACAGGGGTATGCAGATATCTGCTTTCAGTTTTTTGGAAATATATTCAAAAGTAGGATCACCAGATCACGTTTTGGGTTTTGTTTGACTTTAATTTTATTTTTGCAGTACTAAGAATTGACCCAGGACCTTGGGCATACAAGCTAAATACTCTTCCACTGAGCTACTTGCCCAGCCCTTCTAATTGTGAAACAGGGTCTTGCTAAATTACCCAGGCAGTCTTCAAATTTGCAATCTTGCTGCCTCAGCCTCCCAAGTAGCTGGAATTACAAGTATGTGCCACCATGTCTGCTCTTCATTTAATTTTTGGGGGGGACTGCCATACCATTCTCTATAGCAGTTGTACCATCTTACAATCTCCAACAGCAGTGTACCTGGGTTCAAATTTTCCCCTCTACAGTCTTCCCAACAATGGTTATTTTCAGTTCTCTCAATCATAACCATTCTTGGGATAATAACTTATTATGGCTTTGATTTGCATTCCTCTGATGATTAGTGTTGAAAAACATCCTTTCATATACTGTTTGGTCATTTTTATGTCATCTTGGAAGAAATTCCTTTTCAAGCCCTTTTCCCCCGTTTAAAGTCAGGTTATTGTTGGCTGAAGTACAGAAGTGCTTTGTATATTCTGGATATTGACTCTTTGTCAGATGTATAACTATATGATGTTAAATATTCCATTATATTACATAGATATGAGTTTTTCCCATTCCATACATTGCCTTTTTGGTCTTCAGTTGTATTTTTTAATAGTTTTGATGTTGGATATGGTCATGTTTGTCTTTTTGTCATCTATGTTCTTGGTATCACATCCAAAAAATCATTGCAAAATCTAATGTCATAGTTTTAGGTCTTAGGTTTATATATAATTTGAGTCAATTTTATATGAGGTAAAGGTTCAGTGTTGTGCTTTTTGTGTGTGGATCTCCATTTTTCCAAGCAGTATTTGGTGAAGAGACTTCCCTTTCCCCATCAAATGATCCCAACCCCCTATTGAAGGCCATCTGCCCTTGTATGTGGTGGTTAATTTCTGAGCTTTCTTTCCTATTCCATTGATCTGTAGGTCTGTCATAATGCCAGTACCATACTCTTTTAATTACTTTATAATAAGTTTTGAAATGTAATTGTGTCATCTTTGTTCCTGTTTTTCAAAACGGTTATAACTGCTTAGAACTCCTTGAGATTCCATATAAATTTTAGTATGGGTTTTTCTATTTCTGAGAAAATTTACTCTTTTAAGGCATACAGTTGAATAGGTTTTAGTATATTCACAGAGTTACGCAGTTATCACCACTGTCTAATGCTGGAATATTTTCATCACCCTCAAAAGAAACCCCATCCCATTAATAGTCACTCTTCATTGCCCCATCTTCCCAAGCCTGGGCAGCCATCAATGTACTTTCTGTGTCTATAGACCTGCCTAGTTAGGCAGTGCATATAAGTAGAATTATATAACATGTCTTTCATAAGTGCCTTCTTTCATTTAACATAATGTTCAGAAGACACATCCATGATATGGACAAGTTTTTATGTAGACATACGTTTTTATTTTTTTTTTAAATTCCACCTAGAAGTCGAATTGCTGGGTCACCTAGTAATTCTGTTTAAAACTTGTATTATACCTTAATATTC